ATGCTGGTGTCTTCCCTCGAGTTCTCCCCGTTAAGGCTCTAACTAATAGCTTGATCCCTTCAGTCCAAATACAGAAACAAATTTACATTGCTGGGGATGCCCAAAGGCAGGGGCATGAACTCCACAGGCAACAACAGCTATTGAGTTGATGTCCATTGATAGTCAATTCCGGCCATCTTTTCTCCATTGACTGGAAAATATACCAAGTCTTGTTTAAACAAAGCTAAACATGTACTCCTTTGTGCCCCAGGTTGTTGGCAAAGGTGATGTATTAGGAGAATGGTTTTCTATCATTGGTGTGGAGTTTGAAACAGCATTTTAGAGCCAGTGTTGCCTATTAGCTTCACAAAATTACTTCATCTGTTTTGGAAGGACTATGGAAGACTTAGAATCAAACTCTAAATGTGCTGGCAGTGGGCTCTGTGTTTCTCATTTACAGAAAGCATCAGTAGAGCCCTTAACTATTGTCTCTGGCTCCAGGTAATAATGTCTGTCCTTCCCCGCATGTCACAATTACTATTCCACAACAAGATGGATATTTCTAAGATTCACTTGTGCATTCATTCAAATTAGAGAACCACACTAAAACCAGTTATTGTGTGGGTCTGCTTTCTTCTGCTCATGATAATTGGTCAGGATGAATGTATGAACATAAGCTGCCTTTTTTAGACTGTCTAGGCTTTGTTATAGAAAGGGAAACCATTGTTAGAAAGGAAAATCTGTGATGCCATAGGATATTTCCGTAAGTAGAGCAGGAGTAGTGATGAGGTTTTCCCTACTAGGTATTATGGGATGGAGGTAAACCAAAGCCTCTCAAACAGAGCCTGGCAGCCTCCCCAGCAAGGGACAGACAGGAAGCATGTATTCAGATTAGGGACATTGGGCCCTAAACGACTAACATGTAGTTAACTGTTTGTATCATTTAATATAAAAACAAGTTTAGAGACAAATTGTTTCTGCTTAATACTGAGGTTGGCTTGGAAAAAACTACTACTTTACAAGAGAAGCAGGGAACATGTAGGACTAGAAACGAAAATGGACTCAGAAGCATAGCTTCAGCTCCCTTGAGCATGGTCCTCTCTCCTGAGTTATATCATCAAAGCAAATCATTTCCATCTGTTGCGAGTGTCAAGCACGCCAACATCCAATCAGGCTCTTGGAAGCTGCCACAGAATACATGGCCTCTGTGAATGGTCCAGGGGATTCACCTTCCAAATGTTTTACTTTAATAATGGATAAACAGGTACATTAGACTAGGAAAACATGGGCTGGAATGGTGGTGCATGTCTGTAATCTCAGTATGTGAGAAGCTGAGACAGGAGGATTATAAACTTAAGAATACCCTGGACTTTATAGTGAGACTATGGTTAAAAGCAGATGCTAGTCAGAGAGGGGTGTGCTAAAATTAATGTTTTCAAGATGGGAAGTTCCCGTTCTTTGTCTCTTGCTGGAAGCCTTGAGTGGTCACTGCTGAGTACCTGAGTATTCTATAGCATCCGCACCACCTAGAAGACAGAGAAATTGTCAGTGGTTCACTGCTCGGCTCTTGAAGTAAAATTCTCAGGGGTCCACCTTTCCAGTTTCTCAGTCCTCAAAGAGGTCTCTTAAACTGTGTGTTAGGAGACCTTGGAGTAAAATGCTCCTTCTGGAGCCTTCAAAAGTTCCAAGATGGAAGATGTAATGGCAATGGGGCCCATCTACCAGTGACTGAAAAGAAAGGATGATAGAAGATGTCAACAAGAGTGAGGTGATGAGCCGAGACCCAACTGATTCCACTGCAACTGTTTTCACAACAGAGCAACATCACTTCCAGGAGAACCCAAGGATACTGCCAGAAGAACAAAGCCATCTGCAGGGCATAGATCCATAATCCCTTCCAACTCTCAACTCTTCCAGGGAGCAGAGTCACACCCATGATACAGTGTTGTGGGAGGCACAAGGGAGTTCACACAGAGAAACAGACAGTACTGATTTTCATCTGTGACTAAGAAAGAAAACTGCTTTAAGATTGAGAGCTGTCCATTTAGGGGGAAAGTGTGATTTAAGTAAGTATGTTCCTCTCTGAATTTACTTTCTGATGAGAACAAAAGGACATAGCTTGCAGGATGGTTCTGAAATGTACCTCACATCTATTAGACACTCAGTAAATGGCAGTTATTCTCAGAGAATTGGATTCGGAAGTCTCTGAGGTAATTTTCTCTTCCATTTATCCCTTCTGCCTATATTGGCTCATATTGAACTTCATTCCTTTCATATTTAGAAAAACCGTGTTTCATCTTCTATGTAATGTTCTAAAACAGTATGGCTGCTGGCACCCATTTCTCACGAGCTCACTGATGTGTAGGTCTTCAGTGCTGCTGTGAGTCAAGCCTTATTTTTAAGCCCAGCTTTTTAGTTGTTTTAATTTAGAGACTGCTCACATGCTGAATGTTTTGAAGAGTCAATGGTAGGCACAAATACACAGTTGTACACAGAATAACTCCGAACAAAGACAGAAAACAACTTAACCAAGAGAAAGCAAATAAGCGCCTAGCTTCCTTCTGTCAGCATGGCTGGAATTCACAATGCTTCGGTAACAAAAAGAATGATCTGCTTGTATTTCAGTTTTCCTTGATCTGCATTTGGGGAGAATTACTCATGTTTTATAGTCAGTCAGCGTCCACCAAATGTCTGTCATTATGCATGCAGTCCTGTAATTGGTGCCTTCACATTTCGTTTAGTGCTCTCCTACAGCCAGAGAGAGGCTGGAGTTGTTTCCCATGATACTTGTGAAGAAACGAGACCCAGAGAAGTAAAAATACTAAATTTATAAAGGACCAGTTCTGTGATGTTTTGAACATGTAACTTTTAATTGTTTCCCCTTTGGGCATTTGGTGTTTGAAATTACAGATACATTTTAAGAGTGGAATGGAAATGCCCATCATTTCTCTCATTTAGATTCACTGTGTTAATGTCTTACATATTTACTTTACCTTCCCTATCAACAATCTGTCTTCATCTATGTATCTACGAATTTCCCTCTCTTTCAGTCATTGTCTATCAAATATTTATCTTATCTATCTATCTATCTATCTATCTATCTATCTATCATCTATCTATCTATCATCTATCTATCTATCTATCTATCTATCTATCTATCTACCTATCAATCATCTGTTGTTATCTTTCAAGTCTAAATCATTTGACTATTAATTATATATCTTATATAATATATATTCTTTAAGTACTTCTATATGTGTTTCCTGAGAGAAAAGATGTTATTCAATATCACCATAATATAGCTATCATATTCAGTAACTTTAGCATCAACATAGTATTCATATGAAACTAAAACTCACATTCTAGTTTCTTAGATGTTCCAGAATACTTTTTATATGATTTAACTTCTGGTCCAAGACTTAGCTCTGGGACATGCAATGTACTTTGTTGCTATGCCCTTTTAGATTCTCAGGTCTGGAAAACTCTGGACTTTTGGCTTTTTATATCACTAACATTAAAAAAAAAATGACAGGTCAGGGCTAATGAGATGTCACAATGGGTAAAAGCATTTCCTGCCAAGTAGGATCTGAATCTGATTCACCGAGCCCACAGGATGGAAAAAGACCAATTCCTGCAGGTTGTCCTCTGACATCCACCAGTTCACTGTGGTACACACACACACACACACACACACACACACACACACACAGCACTAAAAACAAATAAATAAGTGTTACGAAACAAAACAAAACAAAAGACGAGTTCCTTTCAGACTTCCCTTCAGTTTGGGTTTGTTCGGTGTGTTTAAATCAGGCCCTCATGTCTCTCCTGACATGTTGTATCATACAAACTTGGTTTGCCCCAATATTGGTGATGTTATATCTTTGATCTAGTTTCTCCGTGATGACGTCACCTCACACCGTTTTTTTTTTAAATGAATCAATATTCTGTTAACGGTCTTTTGAGGCTGCATAGTTTATTTCTGATTTTTGAAGTTCATGGTCTGTTTTATAATTAATTAATTATTGCTGGTATAATTTCCTTGCAAGAAATGGAGGTATTCTAAAGAGACACCTGTTCTAAAGGGACTCTTAGTTTTGACTATCAGACTATTGAAATGATGGTTTCCCAAGAAATCAGAGTTTTCTCAGGAATTTCACATTGAGAAAAGAGAAAGGCTGAAACTTGAGCCAGGTGGTGAACACCTTCTCTCCCAGGAGGAGATAAAGACAGTACTGACTTGTCAGATCACCTTGCAGGAGAGACCAGAGACTAGAATTTAGACCAGGATGAGTCAGCCTTGACCAGAACTGCTTAGTTACACACGCCTCCTGCCCTTTCAACCTAAATCTCGTGTCAGGAACCCACAGGCAGACTTTTAGGAAGGGCGTTGAGTTCCACCTGATCCCTTTATTTGATGCTCTTCTTTCGTGGTCATGTTGAAAACAGTAAATGAATCTCCTTTCTTTGTTTCCACTGACACTGGTTTATTTAATTGTTTGGTTGAGGATGGGAGGGGTAGGGAGAGCCTGGCTTGTCAGAGTTGCGAGAGCCCAGACTCTGATCTTAAAGATTCCAGAAACTATTTTGATTCCAGGAGGCTATTTTTGCACAAGTATATAATCCACTTTGAACATATTCTAATCCCATTTTGCACTCTCTACCTTTTCTACCCTCCACTATCTCCTGGTTATTCTTGTTTCTCTAGACCCATTTTTTTTTCTGCCTTTTTGTCATCTGGACACATGATCTCATGCTTCTGAATAAAACCTTCTCGCTTTATTTCAGTTTTGACTAGTATTTTTCCTTGCCATTTTAGTGTAAAAACTTAAGATTTAGATTTATAAACCAGGAATTACGGGTTCTTTACTGACAAGTAACTTGCTTGCCACAGGATCAAGTGATGGCATCCATCTTTGAACTTAGGACACAGAATTAAGAAAAAGCTGTGTCTTTTTTTCCTTAACAGGATGTTTCTAGTTGATTGTGACTTTGACACTTTTCTCTGGTTTTAGACTCACCATTAATAACTTGTGCCCAGGTGGTCTGTTACAGCATCTGCCTTTGTTTCATGTAGTGCTGTGCAGTAGTTTTATCTTCTTCCTCACACAGGGTGTGGCTCTAACTGGTTACCTTACATGCGGAGTCCACCAGTTGCCACCAGTCAGGTGTTGCACAACTGAAATTACGATTCAGCCCTTGTCTGACATGAATCACTGTTGTTGAATTCAGCCTAGGAGAATCCATTTGAGAGTCTAAAGCCTTGACAATTCACAATGTGCTCAACTTGAGCTTTCTGGTGATTGCTTCTTCCGAAGTGGACTAAGGTCTTGTTCCAAGCACATACCAGACACTGCCCTCTACCACAGGTGCACATTGTAGGGACAGTGTTCTCCTCATGTGTGCCCGTGAACGCAGACATGAGGAACTGGTGTGCCCGTGGAAGCAAGGGGAAGGGTTTTTTTGTTCCCCTATATTTCTCTGGAGAACTACAGAAGAGTGGAGAAGAAATGTTGTCTGTCGGCCGGAGGGAAAGCCAAAATCTCATCGATGGAGGCAAGAGGACAGGGATGGGAGGTGAGCAGAGTACGAGAAAAAAAAGCACTAAACCAAGGAGTAAGCACTCTTTCAAGCTATGAGTAACCAGGACGAAAGCCAAGTCCTTTTCTTTGATGCAAATGGGTCTCAGTTGTGCAGGCAGTGGCAAGGAATGGACTTTGAGAGGACGCGTCAAGGCAGAATGGCATGGTGAGGCCAGTGCTGTGAGAGCACTCTGGGGTTTCCTCTGGAAGAGGGTTACTCCCTCCCCTTGATGGGAATTCTGTTGGCTCTATGATGGGCAAAGACAAATAAGTGCTTGTGTTTGTTTTGCTTGCAAGAGAAAACTAAGGGGAAATGCTGTTTAAAAGAGGGAGAAGTAGTCTGGGTACCATTTGTGTCCCCATTTTAACTCCTTCTTTCCCTCCTCTAAGCTGCAAGTGATCCTGGGGAGTGCTAGAGTGCTTAGGAAGAAGTAGGTTACCTGAAATGGGACCCAGTGCTTCAGCTACCCTGAAATCATCCTCCACCTGATATATAGTAAAACTTCAAAGTTGTATAGCTGCTTTGAGGACAACCTCCTCAAATTCCTGTAAGTAACTCCTCACCTGTGCTCCATAAGAAAGCCCAATACTCTAATTGGTTTGCTAAGTTAGACTTTGGGGGGAATTGTACTTGGTCTGTCTTCAGGGCCCTATTGATATCTGTCAGGCAGTGTTTTGAGTGGGGACACCACATGTAAGTGGATCTGTCTCTTATCCTTGGTTGGAATCCAGCAATCAGAAAGAAATGTCTTTGGTAATGTTAGCAATTCCATCCAGGCCAGAGGAGAGAAATACCAGAGATGTTTAGGGGCACTTGCTTGTGCTCTGGCTTCTTGTTACCTTTCTTCTCCATTTAAGAGGAAACCTAAAGGAACACAATACTCTGAAAGCCAAATGTGAGGGTTTAGTGAAATTCGCGTCCAGATGCCTGGGATGGAGAGGCACATGAATACCCTGTAGGTGGGGTAATTGGACTGACTAGCTCATCGCTCTACATTATTTAAACCCTTATTTAACCTCTAGGTACTCTCAGTGGCAATCCATCTTTGGAACTTGCTCCTGAAATGCAGGAGCTCTGCTTATGTCCTTTCTCTTACCTCTCACCTAGAAACCTATAATAAATGCTTTAGAAAACTTACCCTCCTGTTATCTGTAAAAGTCATTCTCCAAGCTCATGAGACAAAGGACCCAGAAGCCACTTGATGAGGGTGGCTTTGATGGTCTTTGATCATCCTGGACCATAGTTCACTGTGCTCCCAAGTTTAAAAAAAAATGTATATTTTTCTGGGTTGAATAGACTTTGCCTGCATCTTTCCAGGTAGTTAGCACAGTGTGTATCCAGTGAGACCTTGCTTTAAAAATAGAGAAAAAGAAGAAAGGCAGGAATTCTAGAGGACTTCATTAGGCCTACCCATAGCCACGAGGCCACAAAGACTTCTCAGAGGTTTTGTTTCTTTCCAGGACATTTCCTCCAAAATTCTGATGATATTGCCCTATGCATAAGAACTCTGTTATTAACTGGACTGCGGTGTTGGCTCTTTTTGGCAGCTATTATTCAACCAGAAGGTGTATCTTTATTTAATAAATTCAAGAAAGTGCTAGCTAAACAGATTTCTTCCATGAAAGGTTTCTTAACACCCTTACCATGCAAATGTACAAGGTGGCTCTGTGGCAGACAAACATTGTTCTTTTCACCAGAAGTCTACTAATATTTCTTTTTCCTACCTCTGTCTCCTCCATCCTTTAATCTAAAATATCTGTGGAAACTAGTACATTCAGTATCACAACAAACAGATGAATTGTCAAAAATGAAGGTAACATTATTTGACTGGTGGTGAAATGATTCCAGCACGCCATATTCAATGAAAACAATCTTTATCAAACACATGACTTAGGAAGGAAGCAGATCTAAATGATTGGGGTGGTGATGTGGAGAACATAGTAACTGGGTGGCAGGAGAGGATGCAGTTATTCACTGACATTTTTCCCCTTGGGAAATTAAGATCACCTTGTAGACTACTGGGGAACTAAGGTAATACAACAAAACAAAACAAAACAAAACATGCTAAAACCAAAACCTGAATCCTGAGACAAAGCTGTTTTTCACTTTCTTTGTGGCAGAGTTTGGTGAACACAGGTTCTTTGGTGGTGCATGGGTGTGGCCATGTGATCCTGTCTTCCCTTTACAGAGTGGTTGGCATGAGCTCTAAGCAGGGCCTGAGGACTGCATTGCGTGCTTACTCACAGTTGTGCCTTGGCGGTGATCTAAGGGGCTTCTCTTTGCTACACCGCTCTGTTTTGACTCCCAAGAAAGAGCCAGTGTGAAGTGGAGAGCTGCTACTGTTTCAAACTACACTTCAAAGGCAGGAGTCCGGAGTCAGAAGCGCCTGGCAGGCCCACTTTCCCCTATCAGGCCATTTTGAAGGTTTGCAACTGTGAACGTTGTCCTGGGAAGCTGGACACATGGCTTTCCTTTGAACTCATGCTTCCAGGAGAAGTGGAACTTTGAAAAGGAATTGTGTTGCTGGGACCTGGCTGGTTTGCTGAGATGACCAAAGGGTGAGAGAGGATCAGGCCATGAAAGCACGCTGTGCCTGCTGGGAATGTTCAGGGAAAATCAGAATGAGAAGGGTGCAGCCTCATTTCCTTAGCACTAGTCAGGAAGAGTGCGAATTATGATCTGGTTAAGAGGTTAAATTTTACTTTGGTAAAAGAATAATGGAAAACCCTGTGGAGAACTTGAATTTCCCTCTAGTGACTGTGTTTTTACCCTTTCTTTCTTAGTAGTTTCCCAACAGGGTCAAAGCTGGTGGGATTACTTTGATGATGGCAGTGCTAATTCAGCACCCACCCTTGGTTAGATCTCTCCCACGTGGACCTTCTAGTCCTAACGCTTGATCAGTTGTGTTGGCATTGAAGAGATCAAGCTGGTGTCACCTTAGCATTGTGATTGCTTTGTGCCAAGTGTAGTTAAAAGGAAGTCCAAAAGAACATTCTGTCATCCCTCTGGAGAGCCAAGAAACTCTCTTTTCTCTACCCGACACAGGACACAGTATACAAGCAACTATTATGTTGGCAGGAGAAGGTCAGCTTTGATAGAGGTTTGTATAACACAGCTTGCTCATATTTTTTTTTTTCATTAGATTAGCTTCAAACTGAAACTTTCTAAAAGATTCGTTTTTATTATTTTTATTTGTGTGTGCGTGTATGTGTGTGTGTGTGTGTGTGTGTGTGTGTGTGTGTGTGAGCACACACATGGGTGAGTGCATGTGTGAAAGCTACATGTGTGCTGGTGCAGGGGCTTACAGAGTCCAGAAGAAGGAACTGGATCTCTTGGAGATGGAGGTACAGGTCATTGTGAGTCTGGAAGCTGATCTTGGATGCTCTGGAAGTACAGCAAGTATTCTCAGCTGCTGAGTCATTTCTTCAGCCCTACTCCACCCCCCGGGAACCTCCTACAAGTTATTGCCCTTAAAAATACAAAGGCCATTTGTTGTGTGTGGTGGTATTGTGTTCCCCAAAATATTGTGCACCCTAATAAACTTATCTGGAGTCAGAGACCGAACAGCCACAATATTAAACATAGAAGTTAGGCAGTGGTAGCACACTCCTTTAATCCTAGCATTCCAGAGGCAGAAATCCATGTGTTCAAGGATACAACGAAGCATGGTGACTCACACCTTTAATCCCAGAAGTGAGCCTTTAATCCCAGGGAGTGATGGTAGAAGACAGAAAGATATATAAGGTGTGAAGACCAGAAACTAGCAGCATTTGCCTGGTTAAGCTTTCAGGCTGTGAGTAGCAGTTTAGCTGAGATTCATTCTGGATGAGGACTCAGAGGCATCCAGTCTGAGGAAACAGGATCAGCTGAGGAACTGGTGAGGTGAGGTGGCTGTGGCCTGTTCTGTCTCTCTGATCTTCCAGCGTACACCCCAATACCTGGCTCAGGTTTGATTTTATTAATAAGAACTTTTTCAGATTCCTGTTACAGTTGTGTCTTACTATTTATCACTCTGTTAAAATGGCATATACATCTATCAGACTTACCTGCTTGAAAGCCACCTTAAATATGACAATTAAACTATTAACCCCATAGAAAACTTTGATACCAATTGTGAGTTTTATTTATAGTCAAAGTAAAACAAAAGTTTTGTTTGTTTGCTCCCTTATCATACCCTTGTTTCATAGTTGAGGGAACTAGATACATATAGGGACTTAATGCTAACCTAAGTCTATAGGGTCCTAAAGCCTGTGTATGTTCATGACCCTTTTAGCATGTAAGCAATTACCTACAGAGCTGCATGCCAGGATAAATCTTCATGTACAGGGAACACATTCATTAACTAAAAGTTTCAACACATGTACATGGATGTTGGTATGACCTAAGAGAGGTGGGAGAAAGCTCTGCTCCCATTTGTGTGTGGGATGATGAGTGGCCTGATGTGGGCATTAATATTAGACTGGAGTTGAATATAAGCTTTCACACTTATTAGTTGTTTTATTGTGGTGTTTTGTTAGTACAGGGTCTCCCATGAAGCCCAGATTGGATTGGAACTTGTGATTCTCTTGTCTTAGCCTTCCCAGTAATGAGATTATGGGTGTGTATTGTCAAGCCAACCTACTCATTAGGTTTTGAGTTAAGATAAACAGTTTAACTCTGCAAAGATATTTCTTCATTTCAAATATAAAAGATATAGATTCTTATCTCAGAGAGTGTTGGAATAATTACAACATATTTCAAAGGGCATCATATTCATCACAAGAACTAATATCTTTCTGTGTTTGCTTTGGCTACAAGGAATCTCAGAATGAATTTGATTGTTATGTTTAACAGTGGTGTAGGTGCATGGTAGGTACTTGATGTCAACATTATGAGTTATATAAGTGCAGTTAGGTGTCAGGTTTCTCAAGTTTCCACTGATGTAGAAGTTAATGGTCAATTAGAAATTAATAGGTAAAGGAGAGTGGGTGGTGAGGTAATGGTTAGTGGTACAAAAGTATGGTGAACTAAATTAATTGTTACTGAGACAATACACTGAGAATTCTTCAGTTATTTTGTTTTCTCTCTTTTTTTGTGAAAGGTTTTGTGAATAAATTTGACTGGGTGCCTGGAGACAGCTGAAAAATCACTATTATTATTATTATTATTTTACCTCTTGACAATTATAATAATAACTTTCTCTTCTTTGGGAATATGTGGTCTCTAAATGATAAACCTTGGCAGCCTAAAGTATTGATCAGCCCCTGTGCTGGTTCGTTTTTTTGTCAGTCGGACACAACTTGGGTCATCTGACAAGAGGGAACCTCAATCTGGAAGATGTCATTGAACATTTCTTGATTTCTGATTGACATGGACAGGCCTAGCAAACCGGTGACAGTGGCAGGTGGCCACTGAGTTATATAAGAAAAAAAGCCTGAGAAGGTCGTTAGGACACAGTAAGCGCCATTCCTCCATGGTCCTGCTTCAGTTCCACCTCCCAGTTTCTGCTCTGGCTTCCACCAGTAATGTATGTGCTCAGGATGTGTAAGCCAAAGAAACCCTCTCCTCTCCAAGCTGTATTAGGTCATGATGTTTTGTCTCAGCTATAGAAAGCAAACAAGACAGACCCTTAGAGTTTACTTCCACTGACTATGAATTAAGTCTTTCCTTTCCCCACCTCACTGGCAGCGTTTGTTGTTATTTGTTGTGTAGAGGGCAGCCATTCTGATTGTCTTGAGATGGAATCTCAAAGTAGTTTTTATTTGCCTCTCTCAACAAATATTCATTGTTCATTCGTTATTTCTTCTTTTGAGAACTCTCTGTTAAGTTCCTCAGTCCTTTTTTTATTTTTTTAAATAAAGCTGTTTGTTTTCTGCTGGTTAGGCAGTTAATTGAGTTTGTTGTATAGGATAGTTATTAACCTTTGTCAGTTTTATAGCTGGCAAGCATTTTCTCCCATTCTACAGGCTACCTCTTCACTCAGTTTGTATTCTGCTGTAAGTATTCTTTTTTACCTCACAATGTCTGTTTGTTGATTGTTGACCTTATTTCCTGAGCAACTACAGTCTTATTCAGAAAGTTCTTGTCTGTACTGTAGCTTGTAGTGTATGCTGTACTTTTTCCTCTAGAAGTTTCAGACTTTGTAGTCTTATGTTGAGTTCCTGGATCCATAGGAGTTGGCTTTTCTTCAGGGTGAGAGGTAAGGATCAAGTTTTTTTTTTTTCTACATGTAAACGCCTGCTTTTCACAGCACCATTTGTTAAAGAGCTGACTTCTTTCCAGTGTATATTTTTAACAGCATTGTTAGAAATCAGGATGTGTGGCTGCAGGAGTTGATATTTGAATCTTCTGAATATGTTTACCTATGTGTCTGTTTTGTATTTAATATCATTCTGGTTTTTCTATGGCTCTGTAATAGAACTTGAAATCAGTTATTGTGATATGTTCAGGATTGCTTGGGATATTTGTGTTCAAGTAAGTTTTAACATATATTATCTAACATCATGCATATTATACACACATATATAATGTTTAAGAAGGTTTTTTTTTTTTAATGGGGATTGCATTGAAATCTGTAGACTACTTTTGGTAAGTCAGCCTTTTTATTTTCAGTATTGTTTCTTCTCCTCCTGGAGCATGGGGGCATTTTCCATCTTCTGGTGTCGTATTCAGTTTCTCTCTTGAGTACTGTAAGGTTTTATAGAGGTCTTTCAATTCCTTGATTAAATTTATTTCCTTTTTTGTTTGTTCTTTCGGCAGTTGTAAACAGTCATGAATGGGACTATTTCCTTAAATTCTTCCTCAGAATGTTTGTTATTTGTATGTAGAAAGGCTACTGAGATTTGTATGTTAATTTTGTATCTCGCCATTTTGCCGATAGTGCTTATCTGTTTTAAGAGTTCTCTGGTTGAGTCTGTTGGCTCTGCTATGCCTAGAAACAAATCACCTACCAATAAGGATATTTTGCCCTCTTCTTTTCCAGTCTGTCTCCCCTTCCTTGCATCTTTTGTCATGTAGTATGTTTTCCAGTACTATCTTGAGTAAGAGTGGCAAAAGCCAATACCTTCTCTTGTTCCTGCTTTTAATGGAAATAATTTGAGTTTTTCCCAATTTAGTATAGTTTTGCCGAAACGATTGTTGTGTGTATTTCCTAAGGCTTTTTCTTACATACATATGTATGTGTGTGTTTACATGCATGTGGATACACAAGTGTGTTGCATGTGTATGCATATATATGTGTGTGGTTACATGCTTACGGATGCACAGATGTATGTACGTGTATGCATATGTATGTGGAGGCCGGAGATTAATGTTGAATTTCTTCCTTAATTTTTCTCCACTTTATTTGCTGGAGCAGAGTTTCTCACTGAACCTGGAGCTTGGCAATTTAGCTGGGCTGGTGAACCAGCCAGTGCCAGTTTCCTCCTTTCTCTGCCTGCTGAGCGCTGAGGTGACAGGTGAGCTGGTATTCCTGATACATACGTGCCATGGAGACCTGAACTCTGTTCCTCATACATGTGTGGTAAGTACTCATACTTTGAACAATCCTCTAGCCCCACCTCCAGTACCTCCCCCCCCCCAGAATCTTTATCATGAGGTAATGTTAAAATTTTGCAAATGCCTTTTCTACATCTGTTGGGATGATCATGTGACTTATGTCCTTAAGCCATTCATGTGACGTATTACATTTACTGATATGTGTATGTTGAAATCATCCCTGTAGCTCTAGAATGGAGGTCAGAAAATGTGTTGTGTTGGGGGAGAGGTTATGCCTTTGTTTCAACAGGAAACAAAAAGCTATGGATTCCTTCAAAATTAATAAAGACCAGATTTGGTCAGGGAGACCTTTTGAAAATCTTGGCTGCAGACATGAAGAGAGAAACCAAGAAGAACCTCAAGACAGGTGATGTATAAGCTGATCTCTCATGGTAATAGCTCTGAGACTGGATGAGACATGATAAATCTTGTTAGCTACAGGGCCCACATGACTTATTACTACATGGCATCCTTCACATGACATGGATGGAGATTTATATTACAGTTTGGTTATAGAGTCCCAACAGACTTATAAAGTTAGTAGGTGTATTTTACCTGCTCAAACATAGAAAAGAGAATGTCCTTTAGCTAATTTGCGCATACCACAATTTCATACTTGGGCTAATGCAGATTTATATGTTACCTTTAAAAGTTTGTGTGTTTTCAGAAAAAAAGACCAGACACCAATGAAGACAAGTAGCCCAGGTGATTCAGCCTCTCAGAATGTCTCTGTTTCAGTCTCCTCAGAAGTCTGCATCTAGAACATCTTCATAGCAGCTAGCTAGGATGGTCTAGTCTCACAGATTACTCTTACCAAGACTTCAGATAAGCCCTGTACTTTACTGTCACACAGAAACTGGACAAGAAATGATACAGTTAGTTCTCCCAGGACTTGATCATTATCTTAATTTCTCCAGGGTCCCCTAAAGATGATATTGCCCCCAGACAGTAGGAAGTAATTTTATGACCACAATGCCAACATTCACAAGAGGTGGGGTAGGAGGTTTTTGGTTGTTCAATGGGTTATGGATGTTTGTCATTATTTAGGAGGTTAGTTAGAAGTTGTTATTGGTCATGGTCAGGGGGAAAAATAAGCAAAGGAGGTTAGATTCACGGATTTCTTTTTGAAAAGGTAAAAAAGGGGGAATATAGGAATGATAGGATAAAAAGGGTAGATTATTGAATCTAGTTTTAAACTAAAAAGTAACTATTAACCTTGAATATTTTACATTGGTATGGATTTTTGTATACTGATACAAGTTTAAGGTTATTTTTGTTATAACATACTGTATATATGTTTCTACTCTTATTTAAGGTATTTTTGTATTTTGATATGTTTAATGTTATTTTTGTTGTAACATAATGTATATATATTTTCACTCTTTTTGTTTGTTTGTTTTTGAGACAGGGTTTCTCTGTGTAGTTTTGGTGCCTGTCCTGGATCTCGCTCTGTAGACCAGGCTGGCCTTGAACTCACAGAGATCCACCTGGCTCTGTCTCCCAAGTCTTGGGATTAAAGGTGTATGCCACCACCACATGGCCATGTTTTTACTCTTGTTTAAGGTATTGTACCTATGCAACTCATTTAAAAATATAATGTAAAATTCTAGTCCTTGAATGCTATTATTACAAACTATTTAAGATAATTAAGAAATGTAGGTTAAAACACCCTAATTGTCGTGCTAGAAACCCCATCCAACTACTGAGGGATCTGGATGCAGAGATCCATGGCTAGGCCTCGGGTGGATCTCTGGGAGTCCAATTAGTGAGAATGAGGAGGGTTTAAATGAGCGAGAATTGTTGAGACTGAGGTTGGATAAAGCACAGGGACAAATAGCCAAACAAATGGAAACACATGAACTATGAACCAATGGCTGAGGGGTCACCAACTGGATCAGGCTCTCTGAATGGGTGAGACAGTTGATTGGCTCGATCTGTTTGGGAGGCATCCAGGCAGTGGTACCAGGTCCTGTGCTCATTGCATGAGTCAGTTGTTTGAAACCTGGGGCCTATGCAGGATCGCTTGGCTTGGCCTGGGAGGAGGGGACTGGACCTACCTGGACTGAGTCTACCAGGTTGATCTCAGTCCACAGGGGAGGCTTTGCCCTGGAGGAGGTGGGAATGGGGGGTGGGCTGGGGGGAAGGTGAGGGGGGGGCGGGAGGGGGGAGAACAAGGGAATCCGTGGCTGATATGTAGCACTGAATTGTATTGCAAAATAAAAATAAAAAAATTAAAAAAAAAGAAATGCAGGTTAGTAGTTAGTCATCCACAACAGTCCAACTTTTGTTTAGTATGTTTTCAAGGTTAAACAGAGATATATTTTAGATAGACAGATGGTATTTAAACACTTCTGAGAGTTATAGAATATGGTATTTAAGAAATTTTAATAATATAAGGCTTTTCATAATAGTGAGACATGTCTGTACCTGGTAGCTCCGATTTACTTCAAAAAGGATGATGGGCATTGAAGAACCTCCATATGGAGTTTACTTTCATTGCGTCAAAAGTTAGCCACTGGGCAAAAAACTGTCCTTGCCTCAACTGCTGATAGTATGCTGTCCAAATTGGACAAGCAGGCAGGACACAAAAGAAGGTGACTACCAAACTTTGCCAAGACAAGGTAGAACAGTCCTTCAAATATTCCTGCTTCACAGAAAAGTCTGTTAGATATTCTAGGCTGAAGACAGATGTCCCAACATTGCAGAGGAGCCTTGGATGACTTTCCAGGCAGTCAAATTTCTTGCTGTTTCTATAGTTTTGGAAGTTATTTGTTCTTCACTTTCTGCTTACATAGGTAATATTATATCCTTCTTGGGTCTCTGATGGGATTGAAGACTAGATAGTTATAGTTACAATTTTCCTTATTATTAAACTCAGAAAAGAAACTCACAAAAGAGACGCAAAGTGTATAAGGTTGAGAGACATAAAAGCTTAAGTTGTTTATCTAAAAAAATGTTTTAAGGTCTAAAAAGATATTTCTAGGTTGGTAATACAAGATATGATAGAAAGTGAATTAGGTACAAAACTTTGGACTCATCAAGATAGGATAGAAAATAGAGTATTTTCTCCAAATTTACCAATGCTAATGGACTAGACATTATAAATGTAATTCTTACCTGTCCTCACCTGAAAATTGTTCTTCTTGTATGTAGCTTTACTATGTTTGAGTTAAAACCTTTCCTTTTTAATTAGACAAAAAAGGAGAAATATCGCGGGGCAATCTTTTTGTATACTACACTATAAAAATATGTCTCTGCCTAAGATGCCTTCTGATTGGTTTAATAAAGAGCCAATACCTAGGCAGGAGAGAATAGGTGGGACTTCCAGAGAGAGAGAGGACTCTAGAAAGAAGAGAAATGGACACCCTAATGAGATGCAGAGCAAGTTGGACATACAGAATGGAAGAGAGTAAACAGTCACATAGCAGAACATAGATTAATAAAAGCAGATTAATTTGAGTTATAAGAGTACTGGAACAAGCCTAAACTCAAGGCCAAGCTTTCATAATTAATAGTAAGTCTTTGTGTCATTATTTTTGGGCTAGTGGTTTAAAGATAGTCCCACAAGAAAGCTTGCTACAATAAAGTGATCTTTTTCTATTCTAACTAGTTTGGTTTGAAGTCTATTTTGTCAGACATTTAAATAGTCACCCCTGCGTGTTTCCTGGCTCCATTGGTTTGGCATTACCCTTTCACTCTAAGGTAGCATATATATTTTATGGTAAAGTGAACTTCAAGTAGAACCATCCTATGATTTAATCCACTCTGCCAGTTTGTATGATTTGATTGGGAAATTAAGACCATTTTTTTTTTTTTTTGTTCTGAGCTAATACTGAAAGGTGTATTACTTCCTGTGATTTTGTTGATACTGTAGTGTTTGGTGTTTTCCTATTCATGTCTTGCTTAATTATTTAAGTTACAGCTTATTCTTCCCTTTGGCTTTGTGGATGTATTTCTCTTCATTTTCAGCCCAAAAGTTTTCTTCAAGTGTTAATTGTACAGTTGGCTTGGTGGTCATACATTCCATGGTTTTTATCATGGATTTTTTCTTTTTTCTATTATAACAGGAAACTTTGCTTTATACAGATCTTGATGGTGCTGGCTGTTGTTTAGAAGCTAAAGTGCATCATTGCAAGCTTTCTTAGCTTTTAAGGTTTCTATTGAGAAAGCTGCTATTATTCTAATATTCCTGCTGTTACACATGACTTACTTGGTGGCTCCTTTATTGCTACTTTCTTTATACTTCCTTTGTTCTGTATATTTAGTGGTTTAATTATGATATGACAAAGGAGGGTCTTTTATGTTTGGTGTTCTACATGCCTGCTGCATCAGGATTGGTGCTTCCTTCTCTAGTTTGGGGAAAATTTTTAATGTTGTTGAAAAATTTTCTATGCTTTTGGAATGAAAATTTTCTACTTCCATGCCTATGATTCTTCAATATGATATTTTAGAGTTTCAAAACTATCTTATCTTCTTATTAATTTTATCTTTATCCTTATTTGAATGTCCATTACTCCAGCTTATCTTCAAACTCTGGAATTCTCTCTCTGTAATCCACTCTGTTGTTGAATGTTTCTATGGAGCTTTTTATTTGACTTACTGTATTTTCAGTTTCCACCATTTCCATTTGGCTTTTCTTTAATCTTTATTGAATTCCTCTTTCATAACCTTTATCTACTTCCTTATTTTATTTTGCTATTTTTTGGGTGCATGCATGTTTATGTGTGTTCTTTTGGGACTTATACAAAATTGATTTTCAAAATTTGATTTGCTTGGACTTACTTATAATAATTATTATTTTTTACTTTTTTGGGTGACATCTAATTCTCACTGGAGGCCATTACAGTGGAATTAGTAACTTTTCAATGAGTTATGTTGCTTTGTGTTTTTATGCTCCTTCTATAATTGCATTATTACTTGTGTATCGGGGTTATTTCATTCCTTAAATTAAAAACAAATCTGTATTCTCTCAGTTGAAATATTTATTCAAGCAGGCCTAGAGTCTAGATGTCTGTATAATTGAAGTGCATATGTGTAAGTACTGTGGAAATTTGAATAAGAATTGTCCGATAGGCTCATACACGTGAATGCTTGTTCCCCAGTTGGTGTAACTGGGAAAGATTAGGAGGTGCCCTTATTAAAGAAGGTGTGTTGCTGAATGCAGGCTTGGAGTTTTTAAAAGCCCATACTATTTCCAATTAGTTCTTTCTCTCTCTCTGTCTCATGCTTATAGATCAAATGTAAGTGCCTAGTTATTGCTCCAACACCATTCCTGACTGCCTGTGGCTATGCTTCCTACCATGATGGTCATGACCTCATCCTTTGAAACTCTAAGCCCCAATAAACTCTTTCTTTTATAAATTGCTTTGGTCTTATCATATCAATAGAAAAATAACTAAGATATAATCAAATTGACAACCAAAAATATCCATCACAGACAGGAACCTATGTTTCCTGATTAAGATGGAATAGCATTTCCAGAGAAGAATATTGCCTTTGAGAGAAACCACAGCTTCTGTGTATGCCTATTATGCTAAGATCATATTTATCTCCTTTCAGCAGTTGTCCCTCTCGCTTCAGTAATTGTTGAAGACTGAGTCAACAAAGAGAATATGGTATATGCCAGCTAAGATTTAAGTTACCAAGATTAAGAGTGCGAGTGAAGAAGATGTGTATAGGGACAGTTATTAGATCAAATTTGTAAAATTCTAGGTTTGAAGAATAGCTGAAAGGTAGAAATTGGAATAGAATTAAGGTCTACAGGTTTTTGAAATTGTTAACTTTATGAAGGCTATAGTTTGAAGTATAAAGATGACAATAATAGGAAGTATGAGGAAAAGAGAGGAATGAGTGTGAAGGTATATGAATTATTCATGGGAAGATTAGGAGAGAGTATGCAGTTGTAGACTGGATAGAGAAACACACAGAATAACCCTAAAATTTAACTGAGCATAATACAAGCAAAGGCAAAACTGTTATGAGATACATAAAAGCCCTGTGCCAGGAATGGCTTTCTTCTTTTGAATTTGTTGGGCAGTGAGGCTTCATAGACCCTCAAACAGTACAGACCATTGCCAATCGTCTTGGTTGCTCTCCAGAACTTGACAATAAGACCCTATTGCTGAAGACACCACATACTTGAGTCACAGACAATGTCCCGGGAATAAAGCTGGTATAGACCTGGAAACTTCAGCCCCATTGGCTATCTTTCATAGTGCTGGGGATGCTATTCATGCTATCAGAAGAGAAAATAATCATCAATCTTATCCAACTGTGAACACTGCGAGCTACAATAATGACTGGCCTGGTCAGATATGCCCACTGGTGCAATACTAGCATGAACATCAAGGGAGTAATCAGACATATTCTGATGAGATTTAAATTCTGCTATACAAAGTAAAACCCATATCTAGTATCATTATCTGGCCAACCTATTAGTAGGCAGGTGATATGCCCTAGGGGAAAACCTACCATTATTAATTTGCTAAATGGACAGAGTATTAAACTGATTCCTAATAATTTATCCTTATATCTACAAATTATATATTTCAGTCCTCATAAGAGAAGATTTTATTTGTAGTAGATAGTGATTAACATAGATGACTACAACTGGCAAAGGAGCAGAAAACAAGAGGCAACAGAATGTTCTGCCTTAAACAGAACATATATACTACATCCTCTCCTCCTAAGGCTCAGAGATCACTGCACAAGAGGACATGGAGAGAGTGTAAGAGCTAGAAATGGATAAGGAAACAGTGTTTTGCAGACCCAGCATAGGAGGTACACATATGAACTCACAGTACTTATGGCAGTGTGCATAAGACCTGTGCAAGCCCAAGCCAAACCAAATCCCTGCATGGAGAGGGTAGCTGGGCATAAAATCCAACCCCTAGTCAAGAGCGTATTAACACTTGTAAGCTGTTGGGAAAAGGAGAATCAATTTTCATTAAGAGTGTAGCCCTTGGTAAGTTGAACTCCCTACCATGGTAGGCCACACATACAAGAATATTTGGGGTGTACAAATCGGTATTGGTGGGTTATAACCCAAAACAGGATGTGATGTTGAGTGGTTGGGAAAAGGAGTTGCATCTGGTAAGAGTTGGGGGAAG